TATATATATATATATATCGTTGAGCGAGCAACTTTATTATTTATTTATTAATTTTCATTTATTAATTTCCTTGAAAATTCATTTGTTCGAAAAAAGTATTTAAATATTTTTTGGTTGTTAGAAAAGTTTTAAAAAAAATGTCGATTGTTAATTGTCGGCGAGAATAATAAAAGATACGTATGATTTTCCACGTTGATACATCTTTATACGTATAACTAATTATTTCTTGGTAATTCTCAATTAACGGCGAGTTTAAATGTAAAGCACGTGAAAAGTAAGTTAAAAACTTGATTCGTAGCTAATTGGATGGGATGAGTGACTCGAGGAGTAAAGTTTGATTTGCTGCGATATCCTGCCACGGAAATATATGTTTCGTTTGAATAAATTTATGCGTTAGAGGGGGAGGGGAGAGGGCCGAGTAAATCGAAAATTTAACAAGGGAAACAAGGAGGAGGTTAGATGTCCACGAGGTTTCTCAATATTTATTCTTTCCTCGGCAACCTATCACTTTGAAATTCGTTCTCGAGAAGATTCGCGTTTGAGAGTCACTGGTTAGAGAGTGCGGGGGTCTATCAAGTAAAGATAATGCGTTTTGCGTCGGGTAATTTGACTTGCCTCCCTTTTTCTCCTCTACGATCTTTTCGTTATTATTACCCCTACCCTTTGAACATTTTTGCGTCGATACTTGCAATATTTTAGACGCAAGATTTTCGTTCGATTTCGAAAGGTGTACAAAGATCTGATAATTTATGCAATTGAGATGCATAGAATAATAAAAATAAGTACGCGATGAAACGTTAAAACTGGGGAGAGATATCGTTATAATTCTTTCGCAATTGTGTCGTTGTTCTTTCGAATCAATATATAACGTTATAACGAAATTTATTAAAGTGTGTTGTGCAAAACACCGTGACACAAAGAGGATTATCGCGTTGATATTTTCACGCGAGAGTATAGTCCGCCATGTAGTCGCTGTACGTAACCGGTGACAGTGTCGACTGTGAGTTGGATGATGGGACGCGTGAAAAGGATTGAAGATAAATGTACATCACATGGTAGGATAATGAAGTTTAATGAGGGTCTGCAGGCGTCATTATAAACCGTTCGAAATGTGCGCGTGCCAAACCGGTTTCACTCTCTTCTTCTTCTTCTTTTTTTCTTTTTTTTTTTTTTTTTTTTTTTTTTCTAAAGCTCGTTTCTCTTTCACAGTCGTGATTCATGGGATCCCTCTTGGTTGCCCAACGGCCTGTAACATTGCCATCTTATGGCAACGACGCGAGTAGTCTAGAGTATGAGAGAGCCCATTTAGAAGTGGAGCTGCCACTTTTTGCTTCTTCGCTCTTTCATAAGTGAAAAAAAAAAAAAACCTCTTAGTTCCCTGACAAAAAAAATTTAATATCCACGTCGTACCCATTTGATTCGAGCAGCACATTCGATAGCCTATGTACATTCGTTCCCTCATCTTACTTCATTTCTCAAGCAATACATTATTCGCAATTAGGTGCGTTTTCAATTTGTCGAAGATCA